CCCAGCAGGAGCTACAGAGAGATCTGCAGATTCCTCCTCTTTGTTTGGGGTTTGGACGTGCCCAGATGAGGCCCAGCTGTGAAGCAATGCAGGCTGCTGTCTAGGTCTTCTTTTGGAGGCTTTGGCACTCTTTGACCCAGCTGCAGCTTTTTAGGTTTTAGATTGCAAAAAAACATGCCATTCGTATGCAAAAGCCTCTGCTCACAGCTTAGGTGGTGTAAAGTGGGTGGGGCGGGGTCTCAGGGAATTGCCAGGGCAGAGCAAACCGCAAGTCTGCTAGTCTGCTCTGCCCTGGAGATGTCCTGGGGTCTGTGGCCCATGGGCCCCATACAGGAACAATGATCACTGCAAGCACCTCTGCGAGAAAGCTATCCTCGCATTCTGGCCCAATGCCAGACAGTCCAGTTTCTCCCCGTATGAGTCTGGGTCCCAGAGTCTCACCCGGAACTGGAGTTCAGAGCAATTGGGAGCTTGTATCTCCCTCCCGATTGAAAAAGACAATAGTGTACCCAGTTGCCAGCCCGTTTCCACGCACACCTCCATACCTCTGCACTTCCTCACCTCTGTACCTCCTACCAGCTTCAATGCACTTTTCTCTTTCCTTCTAGTTGTAGAATTTCCACTCAGCCAGCCTTCCCGTGGTTCTGGATGATATCCGTTTCGTCTTTTAGTTGTAGTTTTGATGTGGTTGTGCGAGGCAGCAAGTACAAGTGTGTACCTATGCCACCATCTTGGTTCCCTCTTCACTCTCTTTCTTTTCCTTATGTCTTGGCTTTCTGATTCCATTCTTTAGTGAACCAAATGCTCATGGCAAAATTACCTCTCCCTATACCTAATATACTATCTATATATATAAAAGGCTAATATGCAAAATGTCCCCTTGGGAGTTCGACCGGGAGAACAGGAGTTTGATCGCTCACTATGATGTGCGCTGACCACCAGGGGTGGCACAGAACATAGCAGGCCACCACCAGCAGCGGCAGGGCACTGAGGGAGCAAGGGAAGGAGGAGGCAGGGAAGCGGGGAACCTGATCGCCCTAATCTGCAGCCAGGCCTAGGGAACCTACCCATGCATGAATTTCATGCACTGAGCCACTAGTAACTAATAACCCCCAAGGAATGCTTTAAGTCAATAAAACCTATCTATGGGGCTAGATCCTCAAGCCCAATAGAAAGAAGGCACCAGGAGGTTAAGTGACTTCCTTAGGCTGTCAGAGTAAATGACAGGCAGGATCATGGGGGAAATCCCTCTGATCTTTGGTACAAGCCATCTCTGTGCCCTATGGCACTTGGGCCCTGAGGCTCTAATCTCTGCAGAGAGGGTTGGAGGGACATACGAAAAATCAAAAACAAAAGAAAGCAAGCATAAGATGGAGAGTTTGTTTCTTACGTGAATTTTCTCTTTGAAAATCATTCATATACATCTCTCCTTTGGGAGTGATGGTCCCCTGCAGGTATTTCCTATGATGTTTGGGGTGGATGTGGAGGAGTCTTCACCCATCAATAGCAGCCACTGGGTGTATGAAGCTGAAGGTCCCGGGGATTGGAGTGACAGTACAGAGGAGAGTCTGGAAACCTAGGTTCTACTTAAGTTACTGCTCTTTTAGACTTACAGCTAGGATGGAGCTGCTAGATCCCAAGGGTGTGTTTAGCATGAATACTATGACACTGGTTTTCAAAGTGCTTATACCTGTTGACCCTCCCACCAGCAGCACTCCACATCCTCGCCCCCACCTGCCGCCCAACTCTAGGCTGCAATATTGGTATATGTCACATCTGAGGTCCACTTACTCCCTGGGGATACTTCTGTTTCTCTCCCTCCCAGATGTCAACAGCTGGCTGCTCACCTTTGGATTCCAGCTTCACAATGTGATTCCAGGTTATCCCAAGCCAGACATGGACGCCATGGAACCATCCTACGAGCTCGTCCACACACAGATGAAAACTCAGGAGTGGGACAACAGCAAGGTAATTCATGCCCACGGCTGCCCACCCCGGGGGCCATTCAGACATTCCAGGAGCGGGTCCTACCAGCTTTTCAGGAAGGTTTGGGCCATTGATAGAAACGGATGTGGTGCGTCCACAGTGCCTGCCAGAAACTGTTCAGCAAACACTTAGTAACCCTACCGCTGGTGGGCCACGGTGGGCCCGCTGTCATAGCACACAGCCCCTCACTGTATGAAGGCATTTTGTATGTTACACTGAGTTTGGAGTTCCACAAAAACAATGAGCCTCTGTCACTCCCCAGAACAAACATGCAAGGAGGGAGAGGGTGTGTTCTAAAAAACATGTGACATGTTCTGAGCACCGTGCTGCACCTGGCCTTGCATGAGGTACTCTACATAAGTTAATTCACAGGTATCCCCTGGTCTCATTGTTCTCCTTCTACAGATTTTATGCCTGAGGTTGTTCCACGCCACCCAGCATGGAAGGGGTGGGGCTGAGGTTCCAACCCAGGTCTGTCTGTAGATGCTCAAAATGTTACTTTCTCGTGTCTTCCTTTTATGACTCAATTTCAAGGACTCATAGAGTTATATAGCTGTACAGGTCCTTCGAAACAGTTTCACCCCCTCCCTTCAGGCATCCATTGCTCATCCCCACCCCCATTCATGGTGTCTGTACTAGGCGCTGGCTCTTCCAGGCCGCATGCTGCAGCCAGTGAGAGCAGGAGTGCATCAGGCAGAGAGCAGGCCTGTAAGGGGAGCCCAGTCTCATTGAGAAGGAAAGCAGGGTTGCCAGATGGTGTACTGCTACTGGGCAGAAACTTACACACCCATGTTTCTTATTCCCTCTTGACTCTGTTAGGTCTCAGGTCACTGTCTCCTCCCCTAGCCTCTGCCCCTCTCTGCTCTGGTGGCCCCCACAGCTTCCTCTTTCCCAGCGCTCACCGCCCTGAATTTCAATTCCTGTTTTCTTTCCTGTATCTCTACTCGACTGTGAGCCACCCAAGGGCCAGTACTGGGTCTTATTTGGTACCTAGCAAAGTGCCTAGCCCATACAGTAGGTGCATGGAACTTCCGTTGAATGAGTAAATGGTTGAAAAAAGTAAACCCCCTGAATTGGGCATCTCCGCCCTCCCCCACACCCATTTTACAGCGAGGAGACCAGGGTTCAGAGAGAACTTGCCCAAGGTCACTCAGTTGGAAAGTGGCAAAAGGTAATAAGAGCCCAAGTCTGTCTGGCCACCGAGCCATCTGCTCTCTGCTGCCCCCTGCTGCCCTTGGCCTGCCCCCTGCTGCCCTTGGCCTGGCCCTGCCCCTCTCCAGTCCCCACTATGCCTCTGGGCTGGCCTGTTCCCAGGGCTGACTCCCGTGGCTGGGCTCTTTCGCCACCACCAGGCAGCCTCCTCCACTGTGCAGAGCCCCAGCTTAGCAGCCTGTTTGCCAGGCTTGCCTGTCAATGAATTATTGATTTCCGCCCTTGGCAGGCATCGGAGATCTTTGTTGTTGAGCACTCCAGCTTTCGTGAAACTCTAGGAAATAATTGTTCACAGACAGGGTTCTATTAATTATAAAGAGGACTTAATTTCAGTGTGAAGCCGATGGGCCTGTTTCTAAAGCCATTTCCCTGAGTTGCTGATAAGGCCCCGGGGCCTGCTGCTCTGCTGAGCTCCCCGCACTACCACAGGGATGGGGGGAG